GTACTCCACAGTTTCTGTGATTTTGAATGTGAACCCTTCGATTTCTCGACAAAGCCAGAAGACAAAATTACTGCTCGTAACAATGCCTAATGTCAATGTCGGATGTCCTGATTTTGTAAACTCGCACGATGACTTTTTATATATGATACTTCATAGATTTCTCTTAACCCTCGTCACAGCAACATGGGTTCATTTGAGGCCAACCAGTTGATCGATGCATGTGCCTATGAAATGTTATATTATTCAGAAAAATAACAATGACCCACAAATATATATATGCTTGTATATAAATATATATATATATATAAATATATATAATCTGAAGCAGCCGATGGCTAAGCATAAGCTGTCTAGTCCAATGTTCTGGTAATGTTGTAAGGGAATCTGGTAATGTTTTATAAACCCCTGCAAATAAGACATGTTTTCTCAGGGTTTTTTCCAATGTACGACCCTCTGTTTTGTGGAACATGTTGGTTAACATGCTGTTTTTGGGAGGGAGCTTGTTTTGTGACATCAACGGATGAGGAAAAGTGAGCAAAGCCATGTGATTGTTTGATGCAGTGGGACCGGACCGCTCCCCACTAGGGTGCAGACAACATTTCATACACTTTTCGGTGAGGTAAGTTAGGAAGACTAAACCTCACAAGAGACGATACTGAACCTGGTGAAAGGGTATACAGACTCTTGACAAATGGTACTTCATAGACTTCTCTCAAAAGAACTAGAATAAAAGTGAAAAGGTTAGCAAGGATAGCAAATGGCTATGGCTCAAGGTGAAAACGTTGGCAAATAAGATGACTCGAGAAAGTTCAGCAAAGCCTGATATTATGTTTGCAGACAGTTTGTTAACAAGGTTCATGCATTGCTGCGACACTAATCACTACAAGGCATTAAAGACGGTTTTACAGATAGTGACTGGGTCAGTTTCGTTGATGATATGAACGATACATCAGCATATTTGTTCACTCTTGGACCTCGTTCTTCTTCTTTTTTCTCTTTTGGCATGGGGTTTGAAAAAACAAGACACAATTGCTCAGTCCACATCAGAAGCAGAATACATTGTTGTTGCTACTGCTACTGTAAACCAAGCTATTTGATTAAGATTTGAATCTTGTCCAAGAGGAAGCAACAGAGATTGAATGTGATAACATAGTGGATATGGATAACAAGCCAACACCTATTGTAACATCAATCTCCCGTATACTCATACGTATACGAGGTACAAATGTCACATCATTAATATTATTGTTCCTAATTCGAAATCCCATAAAATTTTGTTTCATTTTATAAAACATTTAATTCACTTAAAAGAAAACATACATTATCTTAAACATACGAACAAAAAGAGATGTTCAAACATCTCATCATTTTACAACAGTTAATCTAAATACTGTTCAGAGTGTTTATACTAAACCCTATTACATGCCAACTAAAATATAACAAAAGTAGACAGGTATGTCATACGGTTACTGATGAGGCGACTCTGTCTGGATGTCTAAAGATCTCCTTACTCAATTGAATTCAACCTACGCGTGAAATAAACACACATTAAGTATTACTTAGTGAGGCATAATTAATCACGAGTTCTAAACACAAGTTATTTTATTATACTTCACGTTCCAAGAAATCTTTAAATTCAATAGAAACTTCATACAATTAGTATGGTTTCCTTATCATTTTAGCACACGAAGTGCCCTATCTGGAAATTCATACACTTAGTATGATTTCCTTATCATTTTAGCACACGAAGTGCCCTATCTGGAAATTCATACACTTAGTATGATTTCCTTATCATTTTAGCACCCGAAGCGCCCTATCTGGAAATTCATACACTTAGTATGATTTCCTTATCATATTAGCACACTTAGTGCCCTATCTGGAAATTCATACACTTAGTATGATTTCCTTATCATTTTAGCACACTTAGTGCCCTATATGGAAATTCATACACTTAGTATGATTTCCTTATCATTTTAGCACACTTAGTGCCCTATCTGGAAATTCATACACTTAGTATGTTTTTCTTATCATTTTAGCACATTTAGTGCCATTTGGTAATCACCCTACATACATCAATGAATCATACCATTATGACTATTATAGTATATACGTACATAATTAAATGCACTCTCTTGGCTCGCCTTACTTAGATCAATGAATCATACATTCCTGAGTAAGTTTAAACTTTCAAAAAACGCATATCTACAATGTCTCGAAATCCTCTAAAATTTTTTATGACAATCAAGACATGTTTGCAGATATGCAGATAGATCACAATACAAGAAGCTATGCCAGTATACTGTAACATCCCAAATAGCGGGTCGGTGATAAAAAAGGTAAGAAATAAAAGTTAGTAGTTAAATTGGATTAAGTTGAAAAGTTCAAGGATTAATTTTGGAAATTATATTCAGGGCTTTTTAGCAAAGATGTCTTTTGGCTGAAATGAATTAAAAACTCATTTAGGGAGAGATATTTAACATAAGTGAGTGGATAAGAAGAGTTATCTGTAAGCTTATATTTTCTCTCATTCTTTATCTTACCGTTAGCTCCATCAAAGGTGAGTATTATAAATTTGTTGGTTTCTTCAAATTTTGGTTTAGTATTGAAAGCTTGAGTATTATATAAGCTTAAGGAAAGCTTGTATAGTAGTAAAACAACAAGATGAGCAAATTAGAAATGAAATTGTAAAATGGGTGTTAAAATGAATTTTTGTTATAGAGTAGTTTTTAGAGTTGTATGGATGAAATTGACTTGTCAATGAGTAGACTAAAGAGTTAGGAGTAATAGAAATGATTAAGAGCTTGGTTGAAAACATGGTATGATTTTTAGATGTAAGTATTCTAATGAGATTTTGTCTGTTTAAGAGTAGTAAATGAAGATAAGTTGGTTTGGTTGCAAAAGGTTGAGTTTAAAGGCTTAATGTGTGATAAAAGTAAGAGAAGTAGGAAGTTTTTGGTTGATTTTCGAATTGAAATAGCAATTCTGGGCATGGAGTATCGGTATCGTTAGAACAATACCGATACTTCAAGGGCTAAATCTGTGGAATTATAAGGGTGGTATCGATACTGGTTGAAGAGGGTATCGATACTGAGCTGGTAGTATCGATACCATGGGTATGGTATCGATACCATTTTCAAGATACAATTCCAGAACGTCGGGATGGTATCGGTACCATAGGGAGGTATCGATACCCCTGAAGGGAAGTATCGGTACTGTAGTGGTAGTATCGATACTTCTAGGCATGAAATGAAAATTAAATGTTTCTTTCATAATAAATTATTCTAATTGGATATAAGTAATTCGAAGTACGATATTGATTTTTGATTGTTTTGTGTAGTTGTTGAACATAATAAAATTTCGGTCAGCTCGACATTATAAGTACTGATTCAACAGTGTTAAGCAGTTTGCTTAGGACTTCAGTGAGGCAAAGGTGAGTGCAACTTCTCAGTTTTGTAACAGAATTGAGGAAGGCTTGCGATAAGCCAACTTCAGTGTTTTCGATCGAAAACCTTATAATTTATTTTATGTTATATTGCAATGTTTTATTCAATTTACGTTATATAAGCTATGTTTTATGGTTCTATGAGTATGGAAATGTGATCTTTGAACAAGTGTATCTGAAAAGACTATGTGAAAGTAACTATGTGAATAAGAGACTTCGAATAATAAGTAAAAATAATTATGTGATTAATTGCCCAAGGTATATGTATGAGGATTAGAGGTATAGTTGGCATGCAAGAGTCGAGGGTTTTATGTGGTCCTCCAGGACAATTATATGGCACTTCGGTACAAATTACGAGTTGTGGTGACAGCATTAGTGCCCAACCTCAATGTACTCAAATACCTAGAGTTCTCAGTAGTATACATTGGACATTTGGAACAAAGCTATACAAAGTGAATAATATACATAAGTATACCTTTTGATATGGAAAATAAATTGAAGTTCTTTATAAAATGTTTCGATAAGAACCAAGAAAGATTTCTTTTATCAAGTTAGTACTCTTAGTATTTGTCTCACTAAGTCATCGACTTAGCGTGTGATTTCCTCGACGTAGGTTTAAAGAAAGTTGAAGATTGATTTGTTGAGGATATCATACCCCTTGAAGATCATATCAAAACAAATTAAATGTAGGTTTTTGTTAATTTTGTAAACTGTTGGCATGTATTATATGTTTAATTTGAAAGACTCTGGTCTATTTTGTAAACTTATATATTTTGTATCTATGTAAATTATCAAGCTTTTATGTAAGAATGATTGATAAATTGCTATCTTATTTAAGTTAAGGTTTTCTCTTGATCAAAATTTTAATTTGTTCTTATTTGTTAGTTACATATGTTTTGAAAAGTCAATGTGACACCTCGGATTCGTATCCGGGTAGGGTACGGGTTAAGGGTATTACATATACTATCGAAACGATATATTCAAGCAGGGTTTATCAACAAAGAACTGATATCCCAACACTCTTACTTAGATCTCGGTTTGAGCATTAGATACACAAAGCAAAGCAGATGCGGATAAAGATATATGAATTCAAATTGTTATCCACGGAAAGAGAAACGGATTCAAATCCGCATCAGCTCTGAATCGAATAGTAATTAAAATATTTGAATTCGAATATAATCCGAATATGCAATATCTGAATCCATCAAAAGAAAACCTAATACCTAATTGTCATTCCGGTCTCTTTACTACCATGATAGATCGTGTTTAGTCCTTTCTGTAAGAAGCCGGAAAGGAAAGTAATTGGAGGAGGGGCGAATGGAAGTACTTCACACTGAACACTCGCTTACGAAATGGAACAGAACTCTCAGGATTCGAGAAGGACTAAGCAGGCTCTTCAGGGCTGGACGAGCTTGCCTCAGTAAGTCAGAGTCGCTCCTAGCATCCATTTCACCCTGAACGAAGAGTACTATAAAAATTACCAATTTCCACGAGATATACATCCGATTGCAATAATATAACATGAAATCCGTGAACATACTTAATTATCAACAAACAGAGACAAGGAAAAAAATTAGAAACAAAAATCAGTAAATGGATGTACCTTGAGGTACTTGAGCTTAAAACTCCCATAAACAAGTCCAAAAGAGAAAGCAGATGCACGAGCTACCTATTACATATGAAAAACAAAACCTCATCAACTAAGAACAAATCAATCTGATCTAAATTATTCATTGGCAAAGAGTAAAAGAAAAGGTAAAATAAGTTACGAGAGCGAGAGTGCTGGTACCGGAGTAAGGTCCAGGAGGCGGCGCCATGGCTTTGCTTTGCTTTTTGTGTGATTGAAAAATGAGCGATGGAGATTTCAGAATAAATATTATGCAGTGGCGAAACTGACGCAAGCTCTTTGCCTGGTTTTTATGCTTGTTTGTTGAGCTTTACCTATAAAACGATGATGTTTAGATTGAAAATTGAATAACAACACCCATAATAACAATATTAAATTCAAGGTAAAATACACAACTTCTCCGAACTATATTCTCTCCTATTTTATTCACCGTACTTTCAATTTTTTAATTTACTCACTAAACTTTCGAATTGTTCATATTTTGATCACTCTGAATTTTTATTATTATTTATGTATGATGTGGCCTTTTTATTATTATTATTATTTAATATAAAATAAAAATAAAAGGTGGTCAGACACCACGGTCAGCCACCGCCGACATGGTGGTCGTTCAATTTCAAATTTCATGAGTCGATTCGTTTTGATTCCCTGAGTCTGAATTTTGTGGTTGTTTCACCAAAAAATATCCAAAAACCCATGAATCTTGAGTGAAAAGTTTTTGCTTCCTCACTTTCGGTCCCCAATTCGTGGATCTTAGAGCAAATTTCGAAAAAATGGCGGATGGATTCAAACTCAGGGTGTCGAAACAAAACGATCCATGAAATTTGATACCGAACGATCACCATCTACGACTATCGACGGTGGTCGGTGGTAGTGTCTAATGACCTTATGTTTTTATTTTATATTAAATAATAAAAAATGTCACATCATACAAAAATAATAATAAAATATTTTAAAGTGATCAAAACATGAATAATTCGAAAGTTCGGTAAGTAAGTAAGTAAAATAGGAGAGATGGTATAGTTCAGTAAAGAATAATGTAATTTACCCTTTAGTTAAACTAAATGAAAAAAATTATAATTAGATCACCGTATTTAAAAAATACAATCAAATTATTCAATTAATTGATCGTGTCTTTAAATCTCAAACTGACGTTAGTTTGTATAATGAAATTTCCTGCAACTATATGTGTATTTACTATATGCAGAGATTCTTTCGCAGGGATTATTTTGCAGGGATTACTCCCCATTACAGAAGCACATATGATATTAATGACTGCATATGAATACTGTTTAGCTATGTATTTATGTAATTATTTATACATGCATTGAATTTTATCTATATTTTTAATTTTTTGACTGCCGGAGGTCTACCACGGAAGCTATTCTCAACCTGGCGTTGGGGGCAACCTACTACCCTACCTCCCCCTTACCCCATACATATGGGAATTGGGTTTTGTTGTTGTTGTTGTTGTTGTCCCAATACAAACAATAGCATAAGGGGCCACACCAAAAGGCATGTGCATGCCAATGTGCGGGAGGCTTTGTCCTTGAAGGCTGAAGCCCCCATAAATCCAACTTTATTTACGCCTTTGCATTTTCCTACTCTCTCCTTTCAAAGAATTGTCATTTTGGGTAACCAACTAGAGAGATCAGAGGATGAGTGGAAACAACAACATTGTTTATTTTAAAAACTCGATAAGAACAAGAGATTTACTAAAAACTCTCATTATTTGTTGCGACAATTTTTTGTAACAATAATTACAGGTTATAGTTATAAAACATGTCACTATATGATTTTGTTTTTGTACCAAAAATTGAAGATAATCATTTGTGACTATACATTTTGTCACTATAATTAAAATATATAATTACAAGCAAAATTTGTCACAACGAATCTAAATCTCATTATTTGTTGTGACAATTTTTTCTGTCATAGTTACTAAAACTTTTTGTTACAAAAGTTGTCACTATATGCCTTTAATTTGGCGCCAAAAAATTGGAGGGAAACATTTGTAACAAAAATTCATAATAAAATTTATTTTGTTACCATATGTTACACATGTTTGCTAATTGTGACAAATTATTATGACGATTTTAACTTTTGTCATAATTGTATATATTTTCTTAATCTAATGCGACGATTATTTATTTTGTCACCAAAAAGCTATTAATAGTGACAAAATTAAAATTGTCAAAATAGTAGAAATTTCTTGTAGTGATAGGAAGACCTAGATTTTCTTCTCTCAGAATACAAATATTGAAACAAAGTACGCTATTAGCTATGCCTTCGAAGTTCAGGAAGTTGATACTATAGGAAAGTACCTTGGGAACAATAGTAAAAATAAGACTGGTATGAAATTTGATAGATATTCATGAGATTGATATATGAATGAGATGAATATGTGATTGAGATTCAAACCAAATTATTATGTATTTGTTGACAACAAATATTGGATTGACTTATTTTGAGATTAATACATGGATTAGAGTTATATATTAATTTTAAATAGTCATGTAATTAAATCCATAGACATGAAGTTACTACAGTTCTCAACATGATGATTGTTATGTTTTGGCATAATCAAACATTGTCATGAATCAAACAATTATAAAGGTTATGCTTGAACATGACATGAATCATGTAGTGAGATGTGAGTGATTAAGATAGAATTTATCCCTCTTATCATAAGAGAGATATCTCAAGGCCCTTCGATGATTGAGACTGAGAAATACATGGTCTTGCTCAAATGAGTTGATAGAGATCAATGTCATTTGTTTAGCCAGTTCAATTGAGTATAGAGAAACTAAAGATAAAGTGATATAAGGTTGACATTTTTCATGCCTTATATTCTATCGATATACCGTGAGATAAAAGGATTATGACTTAGGTTGTATTAATGTTGTCTTGGATCATGAGCTTTTCATTTAACTTGGGTAGTCATGATGTCTTGTTAGAGGCCACTTATGACTTGTATGATCAAATGATATTTTATATACTGCAAATATTAATTGAACTTATAAGGTTGCACACTAAGAATGAATAAGAATGGTCATGATTATTACTATAACTGACAATTTAAGATAATGAGATTATTTTAAATTATACTAAAAAATTATTTATTATTCGAATTTAATTAAGTTAAATTCTTATTATTTTGATAGAATATTTTGCTTATTATTATTTCATTATTTGATTTAGAAATAATATTAAATATATAATATTAAGATTTGGATGAATTTGAATCCCTTATCAGATAAGAGATATGATATATATTATTATTTATTTAAAAGCTTTTTAGATAAATAATAATTATGTTATTATTTATTTTAAAAGTGTTTTAAATTAAGTATGATAAAAAATGAAAGATTAATTGTAACCCTAGTTAAGTCACATGTGTGCGTGGCATATGCTTAGGGTAATTAATTAATCTTCTTCAGCAGTCAAAAATCCAAAAACCTCAAAACATATTTTTCATAAAAGGAACTTGCATTCTGTTAACCATTTTTGATTCATTCATATGTGGATACGTATAGAGGGTGGTTGTCTTTTAGAAAGACAACACATTTAAAGACTGAAAGAAAATAAGAGACAACACGAAAAAAAAATTCAAATCATAGATTAAGGTAATCTCACAACTTTAATTTACCGTAATTAGATGATACACATGAGATCTTAGGATTGATTGAGATTATTTAAATTTTTCGTTGCGTTATTTTTTCCTCGATTTCGAGTAAACTGTTGGGCAGCCAAGTCTCTATCCATGGCAGGTTGTCTCACTCTAGCAAAATTAGTTCTTTCGGCCATTCCAATTTATTTCATACACGTAATGAATTTTCCTAAGCGGGTTTGTGATGATATTGAACTTCACATAAGGCGGTTCATTTAGGGCTCTACTCCTTCCAATAATAAGCTTTCTTTTGTTCTTTTGAATATTGTTTGTCAACCCATTGAGAGGGGGTCTTGGAGTCATTCGACCATCCCAAAAAAATAAAGTTTTTTCTCATGAAATTTGGTTATGCTTTACTTATGAAGAACGATGTTTATTGGGTCACCCTTCTCAAGCAGAAGTATAAAATCACTAAGGAGTTTTCGGACTCCATTGTTCGTTTTCGATGCTCTCACTTTTGGCGTGGCATTGCAAAAAATGGGACACCTTCAAATCTTATCTCACATGGACAGTGGGAAATGATGCTATTATCAAGTTTTGGGATGATGTATGGATCCCAACTTTAAAACCTCTAAAAGACCATGTTGTTTCTCGTAATTTTGATGATGGTGAACTCCATCCAAATAGTTTTATTGATGTAAATGGACATTGAGGTATTTCAGCTCTAGAACTTGTTGTAAATCCCTATGTAGTCACCCATATAATAAACGTCAAACCCCCTAATCCTAATGACATCACGGATCAACATGCTTGGAGATATAGAGGAGATCATCGCTTTAGGCTTAAATTAATTTATACTAAGATCCTTGAAAATGAATGAGATGTTGTTGATAACAACTAGAAGAAAATATGAACTCTGCGTCTTCCCCACGTATTCAATTCTTCGTTTGGCTTGCTCTTAAGGAAACAATTATGATGAACTATGAATGAAGAAACTGCATGCTTACAGATAATCCTTACTGCTCGTCTTGTGGTGCTTCTCTTGAAACATTTCTCACATTCTCAGAGATTGCCTTCATGCCCGTATGTTGTGGGAATGGTTTGTAAATCCTTCAATTCAATTTGCTTTTCATAATCGTGATTTGTTCCCTTGGTTAGTTAATAACCTTAAAGTCTCGAAACTTTTGATTAGTGGGACCCCTCTTGCTATTTCTTATCTGCTTCAATTATTTGGTAGCTTTGTAAGTAAATAAATGAGCTTGTCTTCAATGGTGTGACTCATCCACCAGACTTGATCCTTCATCGTAGTGTCAATTGTCCTAAATGTTATGATAGTATTGCTATAAACTTGTCTAGAGGGTAAAGGTTAAGATTAGAACAAACATGGGCCAACCACCTACTTACTGGTTATATCTAAACTCGAATGGAGATGTGTCATTATCTTTAAGAGTATACAAGATGGAAGGCATTATATGAAACTCAAATGGTGTTTGGATTGTTGGTTTCAACAAAAACATTTGTATAAGCTAGATTCTTCAAGATGAGCTTTGGGGTATATATGAAGGCCTTCTTTTTGCTATAAGCACTGGTTGCACAAGCCTTCTTGTTCAGTCTAATAGTTCCCAGGTCATAAAGATGCTTACTGAAATGAACTCTACTTGTAGCCAGCCTCCACG